CTTTTGCTTCCAGAGATGCGCGGCACATGACCGGAAGGGCTTGGAGTGGTTTAATAGCCGGTTAACCAATTAACCCTGTCTTGTCCTAGAATGCCGACAGATTGCTCGCCGTCTAGTGCCAGGGTTCTCTAGTCAAGTGCAATCTTGATGGGCGGCGCAAGTGGAAGATGGTTGGGATGGCGACTTTCACCAAAGCAAGTAGGCGGGGGCTGTTTATTAGTGCGCCGAGAGGGAAATCATCAAGGGGAGTGGATTCTGATATTCTCGTGCACGATGAAGTTCATGATGATGTGATGGTGGTGATGCAACGATGGTCCTGCGAGGGAGGAGGGCACAGAGTCATGGAGCCATGGCCTCTAGTCTAGTAATTCGTTGACGGCGTACGGAGCACGGTCAAACCGGAGTCATGATGCTTCCGTCCAGGAACGGGCATCTCATTTTAAGCATGTTTCTGCATAATATGTGTGCCATCGTCACATGGCGGCACAAATACCCCGATGTAACATGGACTACCTGATAGAGCCTGAAACATGGAACACAGCGAAGCGTGTCGGGACAAGGCACGGGCTGTTGCCGGCCTCTTGATTGTTTGAAGAAGATGATCATCAAAGCTGGGCGCGAAACGGAAATGAGGATGCAATGTGCTTGGCGTTGTGTAAGACGAAGCTGGGGCAAACAAGAGGCGAAATTGCTTCTTTTTGTGGCATCCACCCAGCGATTCGCTTGGCAATCTGACAATCATTTGGCGAGGCTTGGCAGATGCATTGGCTGGAGAAGATATTATCCTATCGACCCATGAGCCCGCGACGGCCTCTATCCTGTTGAGAGGAGAGACTCAATGGAACTAGCGGTTGATGTTGAACGTTGAGGATTCTACGGAGTAGGTTTTGGATCTCTTTAGCTACGAAATGGCTCGTGGGGCCTCCTCTGCCATATGTACAATCTTCTCAAGTGGAAGAGAAAAAGCCCGCTTAGTTGCCAACGGGTAAGTGAGTCTCTACGAGCCATTTAGCAGCTAAAGAGATAGTAGCCTACGACTCCGACCAGAAAACTTTTCCATGGGCTGGATGTACATATCCAATCAATGTCTTTTGTCTCGTAGCCAGGAGTATTAAAGCTGGCCTACTCGGCACTAGTAGAGCAAATATTTGTACTAAGCATCCAGACCATTGAATCGAGACATTGACTGGGGGAGTGGATGTGCAATCCGAAACAGGCAAGGCGCCAGGAACGCAAATTGCCATTTGGAGGAAATGGCCGGTGGAGCGGGGAGAATCAACCCAATCAATGTAAGAGAAGGAGATTACCCAAATTTTAAATTCCACGAGGCCGTCTCAAAGTTGGCAATGCAAATCGCGGCTGGCGCGGGGGAGAGCATGATGCTTGACTTGACTGCAGGAGTAGCATTCATGCTGTCGGCCGAAGCAAGGATCATGTGATGGGAACAGCGATTCGCCTTGTAAAAAGACCAAAAAAGAAAAAAACAACGTCATCGAGGGGCATGACCATCATGACTTTCACTCTTCGCACCGGAATTAGCAGCAGAGTGTGTTTTCATACATAAACAGTGCTCGCCCTCTACGTCTGCTCCTTGAAACCGAGGGCGGAAACCAAATTGGCCCGCGCGCGAGTCCGAGTCCCAGTCCGTGCGTGTGAGCGTGTAAGTCGAGGTTTTTTGACTGAGGGAGGGTCGTGACTGAAACAATGAATAGCCACGGAGAGACATGGTCGCAATGAAGTCTGCAGAGTGCGTGCTCGGCACTCGCTCCACCCGCAACTGCTCAGTCCCGTTGCACGCAATTGACTATGCGCCGGTCCAAGTTTGACACAACTCAATTCCATCAACGTGGCCTTAGCGAACACGTCTCGGGATTGTTATGTAGCGCGTCGCGAGGCATGAGCAGGGCCGCGCAAACGGCAACGAAGCTCTTTGCGAAGAAGATGCTGCTTTTCTGTACTGAGCATTGCGGCAATTTAGGTAGTTGCGTTATTTGTCGCATCGTGAGTTTCGGAACCGAGTCGCAGAAAGGAGTTTTGCAGTTTGGCAGGGACGACGTGGAAAGGGAAGCGGAGCCGCCCTGGTGCTTTCAATGTTCCTTCCCATGAGGGAAATAGAGTCAACTAGTCCACCGAGTCCCCTGCTGGTACGCAGTTCAGCCCACGCGACATGGTTGCCGTAGCAGAATTCGCCCTGTTGCCCAGGTATTTCGACACATGGTCGCAGTCAAGGGGTACATGGGGGTGCCTTAGGTGCATGGGGCGCATGGGTCCATCGGTCAAAATTCGCCAATGAGGCGCCGCCTAGGTGGTGAACTAGCCAACGCCGTATTGGAGGGCAGCCAGGGCATCCAGGGCGCAGATGCAGCCACGACCACGACGAAGACAACCACTGGCTCCGGCGGGCAGGTGCACAGGACGGGAAAGAGCGTTGGGCGGCCCTGCCCGGCACGATGTTGGTCTCTGGTTTGTCTCACCAGACGCCCTCATTTTTGGGTTGGGCCTCTTTGGCCTCTTTGGCCTCTTTGGCCCTCTCAGCTCGCCCCCATGCCCAACATACTAATGGCTGCTACCCCCGTCTCGTCGATGCCTCTTGTTTTCTCCTCGTCGACACCACGTTTCGCTTCATCCTGCTCGCTCGCACCACTGTCACGGCTTCGTTGGCAAAGCCTCTACATTCTGCGTTTCACACAAGTCATTCATTCTGGGTTGAATCCATACGACGACACGTCGGGCTGCTTTAAGTATCCCTCCACCACACTCGCTCTCCCCAAACCGAAGGAACGGCCAGACCAGACCCGGTTACAACGATAGTCACTGTCACGGCTGGAATTGTTTCTTCAGCCTGTTCCGATACTCACCGTCGCGGGTCGTGTTCATCCCAAGTCCGTCTTATATATATATATATATCTACACGATCTACGTCGGCCCGCTTGGCTCGTATCCTAGTTGACGATTTCATTGCAATTTCTGTTCTGGGCAAAGCAATCATAAAGGAGCATAAAGCACAGCGCACAAAATGCAACTGATCAAGTTGGTCGTCGCCGCTCTGCCGGCCCTGGCTCTTGTCGACACCAGCGCTGCACCAACAACGACATACACTTACACCAACACCATGACCATGGTCAAGACCATCACTCTCGCTCAAGTCCATACCGTTACCTCAACCTGGGACACCAACTCGACTACGACTACCTTTGCGCCTACTGGTGGGATGACGTCTTTCACACCCCCGGCTGCCACCACTGCACCAGCTCCTGCCACGAAAGGACCCGATAACGCTGCTGGTGTCCTCGATGCCAGCAAGGTCGCCTTTGCTGGTGTTGCTGGCATGTTGGTCGTTGCACTGATGTAAAATCAGGCTCGTGTATGATGGACCCCAAGGGGGACCAAGGGTTCAGGCATGAGAAAGACTCCGAGTTGGGTCAGTACACTCATTTTCGGCATTTTATTGTGGCAATCCCGCCATTTCGGTCGTCCATTTATTCCCTTTGTCAATTTTTGTTCAGCCATGGGCAATTATCAACTTCATCTACATGATGCACCATGATGATGACGACTTCACGGCCGCAGAGGAAGCGAATCATCGTTCGACTCTATGAAACATGTCTCGACTACTACGCACGCCCACAAATGGACATGACGCTCACTCTTGCTACGTTGATCAACAAGTTCTAGCCATTGCGCTCGTGACATGCGTACTCGCCATGTAGCAGCGCTGGCCAAAACTTGATCCCTCTTTGCCTTCCCCTTCGATGTTCAATTTCTTGCACCAGTCACAAGACACGCGCGCGTCGATTGCGCTGCGCTGGTAACTCAAGATTTCATTATATCTGGTTCTTGTGTGTGCTTGCTGGACGATTATATATTTTGTGCTACTTTATTGGCCACCTTTTCAACAAGTCTTCAGCTGGGCTGTTCACGGGGTGCGAGAAGCCCAGTGCCACGAGGACATGCCAATGACCAAGGATGACGGGAGCCAGGATGCTTCTTGGTTGCAGAAGGCTCCTCAAAAGCAATCTAATGTTGTGCTACTCTGCAGGCCGCCATCTGGTTTTTGTGTTTTTAATTCGATTCTATCGGTGATACCCTTTGTGCTCTGGAAAGGCATTTTTGGGCAATATGCTCGCAATGTCCAGGAGCTTTTTTTTTTCTTGATTATTTTGGAGGATTGTGAATAAGCATTCTGATTCACGCTTTAAATATTAAGCAATTATCCAGATGGAGAAGTAGTTTTGGCATATGACAGTTACTTTTTTAACGGAATCTATCGTATTACATATGCATCATTATGGTCCAACCAACGTGTTCTTGGAGTTGTAAATGTTTTTCAGAAGACCTCTGGACATGACCCATGTGCCCATGGAGAAGGATGCGCGTCTCTAGTAATGTGTCGGATGTAAAGGCCGTCGTCGTAAACTACCGTGGGGACGCGGGCGATATTCGTATTCATTTAATTCGATTGGCATTGCCACAGCAGCCTGTGATGTAGAAGCATAGCGTATGGGGGAGGATGGCGCAACGTTGAATGTTTAGCTGCGACAATGGGATCTCGGGGACATTTAAACAGCGTAACGGAAGCAAGGTTATGAGGATTGGGTCGCGCATTGAGACGACTGACTCGGAGAGGGCGACGTATTCGAAAGTCATTTGCATCTTGACTGCCGCTAAGACGTAGGGGGAGGGGAATGGACATGGGGTCACGCCGTTATTTAACACCAAGGCTCTTCACGTCACAGACGCTCATTCTGCTTCCTGCGGTAAAGGGCAAGTCTCGTTGTAAGAAACCACTTGTAGAATAGCTGAGCGAGGCGAATTGCAAGGGAAGCATCAAGTTGCGCTACCATCGAAGCGTGCCGACTACGAAATACTGACAGGGAGAGAATGCACGCAACACTCATAATAAAAGTAGCAATATTAAGACCTATCTATTCTGTTTGGGATACTAATCTAGTGGATGGTGTGTGCCCAGAGGGCAAGTTTAAACTCGACTCTGGCGGTGTCTACATCATGAGCGCCAGGCCAACAGCGGCAGCCAGGATGTGGAAACCGACTGCGCGCTTGGTGGAACCAGCGACCACGGGCGACGTGTTCTTGGGGTGTGTCGCGGATTTGACGCCGGCGGGACGCTGCTTGTCGCCGGAAGGGCTGGGGCCGGCGGAACTTGGCTTGTTGCCGGAGCCTGCCTTGTTGCCGGACTCGCCGGGACCTTGGTCGTGGCCGGCGTCGGCCTTGTTGCCGGGCTTGGCGGGATGCTCGTTGTGGCCGGCAGCTCCGTTGTGGCCGGACTTGTCGGGCTCTGGCTCGTGACTGGCACTGCTGCCGTTGCCAGGCTTTCCGGGGCCCTCGACATGTCCGCTGCCTGCTTTGTTGGCGGGGCTGCCAGAGTCCGCTGGCTTTCCGGAATTGCCGTGGTTCTCGGGTTTGCCTGAGCCGGAGCCGGGTGAGCCGGAGCCGGAGCCGGAGGGGCCGGAGCTCGGCGAGCCAGAACCATTTGAACCAGAACCAGGTGAACCAGAGCTGGGTGAACCAGAACCCTTTGAACCAGAGCCAGGCGAACCGGAGCTCGGTGAACCAGACCCGGGGGAGCCGGAGCTTGGCGAGCCAGAACCATTTGGACCAGAGCCAGGTGAACCGGAGCTCGGCGAGGCACCGGGAGCAGGCTTCACAGGCGCAGGAGCAACGCAATCACCGGTACAGCCAGGCTGGGCAGTGCAGTGGCCGTCGTCGCAAACCCACATCTTGTGGCAGTCTTCCCCGTGGCAAGCCTGGTGCTCACAGTGGCCGTTGCTACAAACCAGCTTCTTGTCGCACTCGTCGCCGTAGCAGGCCGCGGGCGTGCACTGGCCGTCCCAGCAGACAACCTTTTGGTTGCAGCGGTCGCCGCGGCACTTGGAGTACCTGCACTCGTCGTCCTTGCAGTGGACGAGCCTGTGCGGGCTGGACTCCGGGGACGCCTCGCACTGGTACCGGACGCCGTCAAAGACGACACGCGTGTGCTGGCACTCGTCGCAGCCGTGGCCGGAAACGCAGTAGTCGCCGTAGCAAGTGACGACCTTGTTGTGCCACTCTTCCGGGCCCGGCCGGGGGGTCACCGTGGCGATCCAGGTCTTGGTGGTCGTCTGGCCGACGGGGCAGTCTGTGACTACGGGCGGGCAGGACGTGACGGTGATGACTTGGGTGCTGGTCACGACCTTGAGCGCCGCGGTAGGGCGCTCATTCTTGCGCTCGTAGACGGAGAGGAGCAGACCTGCGGGAACGTCGCCGCGGCGAGCGAGTCTTGCTTTGCCACCACACACTTGGTTCTTGTTACCGGGGCAAGGCATGTCGCATTGAGCGTTGCTGACTTTGCCGTCACTTGGTTCGATCCTTTGGCCGCAGTAGCAGTCACTACGTGTTGTTAGTGATGAGTTCAATGTCCTGTTGCCTGTAAAAAAGGGGGGGTGTTGACTCACGTGTCGTAGACTCCAAAGAACGGCGAAGGGCAGCTCGAGGCGCACAGGTCCAAGCTCATGGCATTGCTCGAGGCAACCTTTTGAAAGGTGGGAAAGCCCCTGGAAGAAGCGAAGCACCCGAGAAGCTCGAAGGGACCGACTGTTGGCGGCTGGGGATTGCCCGCCGAAGTAGGGCGTGATGAAGTGTGCCCTGTTGAGGACGGCTGTCCGGGGGAAGCGGGCTGGGCGGAATGTCCGCCGGACGAGGAGGGCTTGACGAAGGATGGTCCATGTCCGCTGGACTGACTCTCAGACGAAGGCTCGGCAGAAGATGGTTTGGCTGACGGGGCCTGCTCGCTGCCAGGCTTGCCGGATGATGCTGCTACCTTTGATGGAACGCCCGATGCCAGCTCACTCAATACCGTGGGCTTGGATGGTGATGACTGAGAGGATGTAGCGTTTGACCATACCGGGGCACCTGAAGGAGCTGGGATATTGGATGACGCGGGCTTAGACGATGCCAGTTGAGACGTTGCATTTGACCAGACCGGCACACTTGAGCCAGCAGGGACATTGGATGATGCTGGCTTAGAAGGCGATTGCTGAGACGACGTGGCATTTGACCATACCGGGACACCCGAAGAAGCCGGGGCATTGGACGATGCCGGCCTGGAAGAAGCCGGGTGAGACGATGTAGCATTCGACCGGGCCGGCACGCTTGAAGAAACCGGGCCATTGGATGATGACGGCTTAGAAAGTGACGGCTGAGACGACGTGGAGTTTGACCAGACCGACACAACCGAAGAAGCTAGCACACCGGATGACGCCGACTTGGAGAGAGATGCTCGAGACGATGTGGCATTTACCCTTGCCGAGGCACTTGAAAACGAGGCACTGGACGAAACCGGAACGCTCGAGGACGCTGAAGCACGCGATGCCGACGAGCTGGATGAGACGATGGACGAGGCAGGAGCGCTCGACTTTGCTACGGCGCTCGAGGACGCTGCTTTGGATGACGCCGAGGCACTTGAGGATGAGGAAGCATTTGAAGAAGCCGGGATGCTGGAGGAGGCTCGGCTGCTTGAGGCAGATGAAGCACTTGACGCGGAAGCTCTGGAAGACGCCGAGGCCCCGGATGAGGCCGCAGAGCTGGCTGAAGACGCGGCACTGGAGGATGATGAACCAGACGAAGCCGGAGTATTCGACGATGCTGAGGCACTCGAAGACGCATGCGCACTTGAGGGCTGGACGCTGGACGCCGAAGCGCTGGAAGAAGCCGACGCTTTCGATGATGCAGAACCGGAGGAAGCCGCGGCACTTGAAGCTGAAGAGCTTGAGGCTACTGAAGTCTTTGAAGATGCCGATGTCTTTGATGATGCTGAAGCGCTTGAAGCTGAAGAGCTCGAGACTACTGAAGCCTTGGAGGATTCTGATGCCTTTGATGATGGCGATACGCTTGATGATGCTGAGGTGCTTGATGATACTGATGCCTTTGATGATGGCAATACGCTTGATGATACTGAAGCCTTTGAAGATGCTGATGCCTTTGATGACGCCGAGGCACTCGAAGCCGGTACACTTGAAGCTGACGCACTCGAGGCTACTGAAGCCTTTGACGATGCTGAAGCGCTTGAAGCTGAAGAGCTCGAGGCTACTGATGCTCTCGAAGATGCCGATGCCTTTGATGATGCCGATACACTCGAGGCCGATACACTCGAAGCCGATGCACTCGATACCGATGTCTTTGATGATGACGGTGCGCTTGATGATGCTACTGCACTTGATACTGATGAACTCGAAGACGCCGACGCTTTTGATGATGCCGAGGCACTCGAGGATCCTGGCACACTTGAGGACGCTACCGCACTTGAAGCCGATGCACTCGAAGCCGAAGAGCTCGAGGATGCCGACACACCCGAGGATGCTGATGCTGACGATGCACCCGCTTGTCTCTTGACAACCCGACTAGCACGACAAGCCAACGCAGCGTTTGCAGTCTTTCGGTCTCGGCAAGCCTGTATCTCGGCCGGCACTATCTCTTCCCTCCCCGAGACGTCGAGCCTCAAATCCTTGCCTGGCTTCCACACGGCAACAGCCTGGTAACAAGCGCCGTGAACATCTACACCAGAACACGGATTCTGTGCATTGTCCGCCGCCGTCACAGCGGCCGCGAGGGAGACGGTCCCCAAGAAGACGATGCCCCTCATGATAACTATCTAGGTATAACGAGTGAATGGGACAAGCAAAAACAAGGAGAGTACCGAGTCTCAAAAGGCTCTTGAGTCGACACCACTTCTCCGGCACACTTCCCAAGAGGACCAACTCTTAAATAACACAGGACCTGGTCCGAATCGCCATGAGCCTCAGTGGTCGATGCAGTTCCAGCAATGGGTCTTGATCCTTTCCGTGGCAACATCAGGCGACTATATGCTCCGGAGGAATGCTATCCCTCACATTAACTCTGGCCAGCATCGCGATAATACGAAGTACATACATGCGTATCCGAGAAGCCACAACTATTGCAGCGGGGACCTGTATGTACAAACATGTAGTACAACAGTGAATGGGGCAAGTGGACAAGGAATGAGATGATGGAGACTCGAGAGCTTGCCTGCTCAGCCGGGCGATATTGGCATCGGGCAAGTCCCTCGACGCCTGCTTTCAGAAGAGAAAGCTACCCATCATGGTGTGGGTTCGGAAATAATAGATGCTGTTATTGGGGGGGGCTTGCAAGGAAGAATGGCATTCATCTTTGGCGAGGAATGGAAGCGTGAGTCAAGAAGGCTCGGTTGAAGCAGGGCGTCGTGAGGTGATTTAAAATTCGATAGCTTTCTTTTCTCCACTCTGGCTGTGAGATGAGATGAGCAAGCACATTCAAAGGATACAGCATGGACAGAAGTTGGAACTGCCCGACAGCAAATACAACAAGTTGAAGGGAGGCGAGGCCGGCCCCCCTTCCCAAGTCGGAGAATATCATTGTGTTGCGGCCCGGAGCGAAACTGAACCAGACCATCCTGATTCATACACGTCTCAGAGCCACGCTTAAGCAGCGGAAAATAAAAACTTGGCGTGGAGAAAGCACGGTCATGAAAGAAGACTGCCCTGAGTCCCTGGCTGAAGCTTAGCATTCTTGTTGAGAGGTGCCTATGCTATATCACATCCCGGATATATACAGGGACGCGCGAATCTGAACAAGGGCGGTGGCTTGGCGTGGGACGCTCACTCTGCAGTCTGCACGATCTGAATCTAGAGTTGACGCCATTTACAAACCCATCTGTTGACTGACATGTTGCCTGCCCTGTCCCGGCGTTCCGCAAGGCTGTTATACATCATGGCAAGGAGTGTCTTGTTCAGAACAAGCTGTTTTCATGTATATTCAATGCCGTCTCTCGTTTACTACGCTCTTTGCATCTTTCCACCCGGGTGCCATGTGTACTATTCCCATCAGGGCAGCACAACAAGGGAGTCTTCCTTCAAATCCTGCATCTTGGCAAAATGGAAACTTGTTCACTTGGCCTACTAACTGGGTCGCCCGATTTGTCTGTGCCCCAGTCGCAATCACGTCAACGGTTTTGCTTTGCCGTTGAATGCTGGCATTGGAGCCGCAATTCGATTCGGTTCGCCCGTATCATGTACGTACGAGACACTCATTCAATGAGATGGCCGCCATCCCTGCCAAGCAAGAATGGGCAATTGGCTGGATGTTGAAACTGTCCCTCCCATAATACATGGGTCGCAAAAAGTCGACGATGGCTTGTCGTGCTTGAGGTCGGCGCTGCTCCGGGGCAAAAACACGCAGTCCTTACCCGTGGCTACAACCATCTAAGGCACTCATCTTTTTTAACGGTATTGTTTCCTGCTTGATAGGACCCGAGACTCCGCGACCGGGTGGGAACCTAGTCTCGCCCGCGAGTGTGTCTGTGAATCTGCCCGAGCCGTCAACGTGCGCGTAGATGGCGCTTCGGGCGACGCATTCCGAGCCAGCGGGCGCGAAAGCTGCGCACATCAGCGACCGACAGGGTGGTGCTCGTTATTACTAGTTCCAGTTATGACTAATGATGGCAAGTACATACATATATATGAGCGCGTCGGTATCGGCAGCAGAGTCGAGAATGCAAACGTCGTTGTCCCCATGGTTGAAGACGCTGGCCACAGAGCATCGGCGCGCACACATGTACAATTCCAGGGTGGCCCGCTCGGCATGCCAAGTCGTGGAATCTATGGTCTTTTCACCGGTATCATGCATGCCAGAATGTGGCTAATATCCTCGCAATCCCCGGGTGCTTTGTCGTTTCCGGTTCCAGGCTGTTATCGTCCTTAAGGGGAGGGAGGAACGGAACCGTCAGCTCTGCCGCGCCGTGTATAGTGACTTTTACCTAGTACGAGTTTGGCAGTTCTTTGGTTCGCTTTCGTAGAGTATGGAAGGCGTTGCCAAATCCACTCGTTCAATATTCTGTGTTATGAATGGTTCACTGAAGAGTCTGAAGTACTCTCCACCAAAGCCCCACTCTTACACACTGGGTATCCGAGAAAGTTATATTGTTTCCCCACGTCTCGCGAACCGTGGAAACTCTATCGGAGTAATTAGGCTTGGCTATGTGAGTCGCAGGCTTGTCAGGACTTTGGCTGGTCGGCAAACTAGCACTCTAGTTCGTGAGGAGGATGACGGGCGAAAACCGTAGCTTTTATTAGACAAAGTGTATGAAAGGATAAATTCCAGCATCTTGGGCATATTGGTCCTTGGGTAAGTTTGGTACAATGTACATGTACTTGGTTTATGTATGTATCCTGCCACTGAGTTGACTTACCCTGGAGGAGGGCAAAGTATCAGCTTGGCTAATACAAGGTCGAAAAGTGTGAAGACTAAACAAGAGAACGATTCATTGACTTGCAATGACCCCCGAAATGTCCGACATATATAGTTTTCCAAAAATTTGAATTGGGTTGTCAATCAGCATGTTATTCGCCCATTGGTCCCGCTTCAACTAACTGATCCATGGCCACCATGTCGAGTCGAGTCAAAATAACCCACCCTATACTGGCAGCCCACTTGGAAGAGGCAAATCATGTCAAGACATTATTTTTGTAGTTTCTATATATATATCTTCCGCCTAGTTTTAAAACTATATAGTCTACGTGAATATGTTTGGCATACTTGTCTGGCAAAAATACACACTCCTAGTATACCAAAACATACGGTGCGATGGCTAATTGCATGTTGGGTCAAATTACTTTTGCCTCCGACTGCATGTAAAAGTGTCACATGCACTCCTTCGTCCAAACCACAGGGCAGCACGTTCCTTACATGAATCTCGGCCATGAAGCTTGCCGTTCTTATTTGCCAAATGTACCACGGCAAAATGGAACCTGCCTGTGAATGTAGTCCGCCCAGGCAAGATATTTTGATAGGGAGCGTCCCCATCCGACTCGGCGGTACGCCATACAGCTGTCGCTCCTCCAACACTCTGACTTTATTTCGGTGAGATTGTGGTTGCTGATTCCGGCACACCACATCAGATGTCTGCGTCCGCAACGGCCAGGGTCTAGGGTAAGTCCACCCGCCACGCCAAGTCGATACCAGACTCACTTCGTTCCACGCCCCGAGATTTGGCGCGCCAGAGTCGGCAGGGTCAGGGTCAAGGTCAAGAGCGCGCCAAGCGGCAGCCTCGGCGAGTCTCGTGAGTCCTGCCCTGGATGCCCATTCCATCCCTGGAGCTGCGGCCCAAGTCGACATCGAGTCCATCGCTCGCGGCGAAATGCCAAGACCGCCGGAAGCCACGGTGTGGTTCCGGCAGAAACGCCGCCCAGGAGGCACCCAGCACCGGTCGACAAGGGGACTCCCTCTCGTTCGCTGCTCGCGGCTCTCCGCCAAGCGTCTCTCGTCCCAAAGTGGCAAGTCGTCATGCACAGACGGTTGTTGCGAGTTTCATTTCCGACCTGTTGCCGTCGCGGCGCGGCTCCTGGTCGTCGATGCCGAAGTCCTGAGGCGAGTGTCACGTGCGCTGCTCGTCGGCCAGCAAGAGACGTCCGGTTCTGCCGTCATGGGCTTTGCGGCTGCTTCCATCCTTGGTCATTGACGTCTGGTCCGTTGCTCGGGTTTGCTGCCGTGGCGACGTCGTGTCTCACGCGCACAAGTCTGCTGCGTGATCGCCGTGTCGTGCCTCTCTTTGCGTTGCCGCGATGCCTCACGAATTGGCAATCAACGGGGTCGGCATGGTATTATCCTGGTGGGAGTGTCTTGGCGGACTTGGCGGCGAGTACTACTAGTAGTACTAGTATGTACAGTATGTACGGCAAGGTTCAGCTCGAATCGCTCAAAGTTTGTTGTTGCGTCGGGAGAAATGAAGACGACCGGACATTTGCGCTGCTAGGCCGGCTTACGTGGCCGGCCTTGGGCTTCGACTCTTCGAGCGGCCGACAGGGATGCCTGCAGAGTTAAATGGCACTACGATATCCATTAATAAAACCTTGATTCGGACGTGTCGTCGTTTTCACTTGACAGGCCAGGTGAGACTTTTCGACGCGTGGTTTCGAACTACTCTAGTCTCTGGGGCTCGCTCGGCCTCGGATGATCGACAACCGATGATCGGGTTTGCTGCCACGCCGGAAAAAATATCCTCCAGTCGTCCCTTTCGTCTCCGTGGCTCCCGCAGGACTCGGTGTCGTCCCTTTTTTTTTTTTTGGCTCGTTGTCGCCTCCTTTGTTGCGATTTTATGCGCATGAAGCAGCGTCTTGGAAATCGACGACAAGACGACACCGTGTCCGGACGTACGATTCAACGGATCCGCAATAAAGTAGAATGACAACAATGCTGGGCAGGCACACACCATGTGTCCATGTCGGTGATTTGGGGTGTACCAGTTGACCTTTCCGAGCACGCGACACCAGCAGCTTGCCATCCCGGTACGGCGGCGCCTAGCCAAACTTACCGCCCGTCAAACCACACTGCCTTTTATGGGTGTAGAATTCGGCGTTGCATCAATGCAATCCGTATTTCAGACTAGTCTACGGAGTACTCTGTAGTCTCTTGGCGAATCGACTCTGTGCAGTCCCAACCCCAGATATCTTGCACTGGGGCACTTGTGAGACAAATACTACCTAGGCCCTTGGGCCGTCCCCAAGTGATGGCAGTCGTCCAAGGGATACATACCATTGAGCCGAAACCATTCCCTTGACGCCAAGCGACGCCGTTGTTGGAACTCGCCTGGCGTCCTCTTGCGATGCCGCACTGGACGGGCAGACAGGCCGCATTCCGGACCGACTCCAAAGTTGCAGCTTGCTTGGGCGCGACTGCAAAGAACATTCATTGATGGCATGTAACTTACAAGATACATTGGTTGGCCAGCTTCACCCTGTCGCCGAGACACCCATGCTAGCTTGGCAGGAGGCATGTCCCCAGCACCTGTGTAGGTCAGTACATAAGGTTATTTCTCCCATTGGATACCCTGGAGGCAGTTCCCCGACCGTGCTTAGCTACGGAGCCGAATCGGCAGCGAGATAAACGTTCTTGGCCGTCACACAAACGGGGGCTGATGACGTGTGCAGATGAAGGGACAAGATATTGGCCTCGGGGTGGACCTTGAGGCGTCGTTGTCGCATGTTCAGTTGCTGCATCGGGCCTGCCCTTGCACCTTGGACCCTGGACCTTGATGGATCTGGTGCCTCAGTCTCGTTTTTTCGCAGTGCCCGTTTGCTCTCCGTGGATGCTGGGCCGAGAGTTGCCAACACGGCTGGGGATCAAGACTCAATATCATGACCTGGCCCTTTTTCCCCATCCTCCCTCGGCCGTCCCCTTTTTGCTCCCGCACCCACGAGCCCTTCCTTGCCCGAGAGCCCGCCAGCACAGCGCCCGTGGGCGAGAGCCTTGGGCCCGTAGCATCCGGGTCGAGCGGCCAAAGATGGCTGACGCGGTGGCATGTGGCGGCCGCGAGCGTGGAAGAAGGTGCCGATTTCCGGTTTTTTCGTCTCCGCTCTCTTATTCCCTTGCTGGCTATTGGCGAGGCCTCGAGCCGTTGGCCAGATGGGGCAAGCGGAACGTCAGCCTCACCTGGTCTGGCCAACGCCCTGGTATTATCAGCTTCGCCGTGCGTCAAGAATAGCACACGATGGCCACGCAACGTCTGTCTGTTCTTGGCGCCCCAGCTACCTTTGGGCGTCTCGATACCGCCGTCAATCCCCTGTTGTCAGATGGCCTTCCTTGGCTGGCGGCGGCTACAGTCGTGCACTCGTATGGCCTTTTCGCCATCTGCCGCCTACTTCTTGCCCATGCCTCCTAGTTGTAAAGCGACATGTCACAAAGGACAGAGCAGAGTTCCCTGGCATTCAAAAGCCAGATGTGCTGTAAAAACCAGGGGCCAGGACGCAGCGCCCAACTGGGAATCCGTCTCCCATGGAAGGGAAGGCCCTGGTTGTAGTAGAGTTCGCAACAACAAATGCATGGTTCTCGAGAAGCCCACACATATCCGTTATGGAGCCCCGGGGCTCGCCAAGAAGTGA